TATCAAGAAATATTTGGATGGTTTCATTTGGTAAGTCACTCTAATCCTCTGCTTATCTTGAATAAAATCTAGTATTTTTCTTTTTAAGCCTTTTGTTTCTGTGAAGATTTCCAAGTCTGTGAAAACAGATGTTAGTGTTCGTATGCAGGGAAAGACCAAAGGCACACACTTCTAGAAATTCCAGTAGAAATTCCCCGAGTCTGGGGTACCAGCTTCTGTCCTGAGGAATGGTATCAAACCTGAAACCTAGGTATGGACCCTGACTGGGAATCAAACCCGCAACCTTTTGGTGTATGGGATGACGCTCCAACCATCTGAGCCACCCAGCTAGGGTTCTTTTGATATTTTATTGTTTTTTAAAATATGTCTTTATTTCAGAGAGGAAGGAAGAGAGAGAGAGAGAAACATCAATGATGAAAGAGAAAAAATTTTTAAATATGTTTTCTTCATTGATTTCAGATAGAGGAGGGAAGAGGAAGAAAGAGATAGAAACATCATTAGTAAGGGAGAATCATAGATCAGTTGCCTCCTGCATGCCCTCTACTGGGGATCAAGCCCACCACCCGGACAGTGCCCTGACCAGAAATTGAACCGTGACTTCCTGGTTCATAGGTCAGTGCTCAACCACTGAGCCACACCAGCTTGGCAATTTCTAATCACTTTTAGAACTTGAGGAGGGCACACGTAACTCTTGTGGTATTAACCATAAAGCAGCGTCCTAAGGTTATTACAAGGCAGACAAACTTCCCATGGAACACCTGTATAAGACTTCCTTGATTTTTATATTTGTACATGAATCCAGACCTGGAGTGGAACCTCACCATCTTTCCAACATAAGAGCTAAGTGAGTTACAGTTATTCACCCAGAATTCGGTTCATTAATAGTGTAGGGGTTAAGAGCCTAGGCTTACATCCTGGCTCTGCTGCTTCATGTGAACGTCACTTAACCTCTCTTGTGCCTTAGTTTTCTCATCTGTAAAATGGGGATAATAGTACTTACCTTATAGGGATGTTATAACTATTAAATTTCATAGTACATAGAAAGTTCTTAGAACAGCTTCTGATACCCAGTAAATGTTAGATATTTACTTTCCTTGAATTTTCAGAACACTAGGCAGAAATACTGTTAACACACTTCCTTGATGACCAACAGCTGGATTCCCCCGACCACTTTTAGGTGAGTCATTAGCTCGGATGCCTCTGGACTGGAACCTGGCTGCAGCAGTGTGGAAAGGCACCTCCTCTTACCCTGCGGGAAACGGGCAAGAGAATGGACTAGTAATGGGGGAGGCCACACGCTCCACCGGGAGTAGTAACCACCTGCCTGGTTCTGCCCCATGCCCCATCCCTGAGGCCCATCTCCAGAAAGCACGGGTGCAGTTCACACATGGTGTGGAATTCTATCCATTGTTGAAGGACAGCCATTTGACCTCTTATCGGTAAAGGCGGAGAAGTGCCTCGTGGAGTTTCGGGGGGTCAGAGGGTGTGTGTAAGCATCTGCCTGGGAGCTGGCACAGGGCAGGTGCTCAGTCATAGACGGCGCCCTTGCTGTGCTTCTTGTTGGGGCCTCCCTGGGCTTGAGGTCTCCTTAGAGCAAGGTCAGTGGGGCGGGCTGTCGGGGAAGGAGCACCTGTCTGCTCCAGTGCAGAAAGGCGTCCTCGGCTCCAGCACACAGGGCCGTTATCTTGGGGTTGAGACGCCGGTGGGGCCCAGCCGAGTTCGGCTCCGTCGGGGGCACTTAGCGAAAGGCAGCGCCCCTCCAGACCCC